CTCTACTGAAACTTTAAACAACCTACATCCAAACTAGCGTAAATTATGCCCATAGACTTGGTCAAAACATTTTCTCAAGTATAAATAGAGGTTGTCGCTTACCTCGCTGATTTTGAGCTTTTAAATTTCAACAAATATGATATTGTCGTCGATTTGAAGCGACAACCCCAAAAAAATTCAATCTTCGTCTTCTCAACTATTCGAACTCAATGCTAGTTTCCAGTTTGCTCCAACACTTTCAAACGACGACTCCAGTTTCTGATTTGCTCCAACACTTTTTCCTCCAAGTCAACGCTAGATTCGACTGTGCTCAACGATTCTATCAAGGTGTTACGCGCACCAGTTTTTTTGGTACCAGATGGGTCCTCAAGTCTTCACAAGTGCACAGAACACAATCATCAAACCAGAAAAATGAAAACACAAAATGAATTACAGTGCATGTGCTCATCAGGATAATACCTTGCTTTGTATGTTTTAAATCACCAAACCAGAAAACTGAACAGCTCTCTTTCCTCAAACAAAATAGCAAATCAGAAAAAAGAAGAAAATCATGTTTTTTGAGAGAGAGAGAGAGAGAGAGAGAGAGAGAGAGAGAGAGACAAACACACACACAAATAGAGACAGAGAAACAGAACTTCTTTTGGAGGGAGATATTGTGGTCTTCAAGAGCACAATGCGTCTGTTTTGGAGGGAGTAAGCCACGTTCCAGTGGAATGGTTTTACCCACTTTCAGTTACACTTGCTTCTTATCATCCGTTAGATTTGATCCAACGGTGTTCTCATTTAGAGATTCGCAAAATGACGTTCCCACCAGAGAATAGCCCATATCACGAATCGCCTCTCTTTCTCTTCTGCATCCTTATAAAAAAACTGGCCCAAATTGAGCCATCCAGTCTTCTCATCATAAATTTGGCGAGATGATGCTTGAGAGGAGCAAATGTCCAAAATGGAAAGAAAAGCTAAACAGAGGTATTGGCCTTGATTTGTGAGAGCCATGGTAAATAGTAAATAAGCACAAATGGTACGTATTCTATGGAAATATATTTAATCTTTGATGGGCACAAGACATTCAATGAGCATCTGGGATTTTATAGACATAAAATTGTTGTGAGCTCTCCTTTTCCTCATAGTATACTAGATGGGGACCTTTCTTTCTACGTGCCTTCGAAGATTTTCTAACTTAGGCACACAATAATTCAATTTTTTGGGGCCGTTAATCATTATTTATTTGTTAATTTCACATTATCCTTTACAAACAATATAAGAAGATTAGCGGAACTAACTTATCATTTTTTTGATAGACGAGTAATTGATGGAATTACGAATGGAGTCGGTATTGCGAGTTTATTTTTTATATTTTAAGGAAATGAACAACTGATCCATTACAAGTCATGGATCCTCTTCGATCTTAATCACTTCATAAACTACTTAATGTATTAACCAGGCACAGAATGATTCAATTTTTGGGGCCTTAATGATGATATGAGTTGTGATGTGTGTCAAATCCAATTTGAACACATCATTATTTATTTTCTACTTTCATGCTATCTAGCACATTATTTTAAAGAAATGACCAAGTTTTCACACCAAAATAAAAAATAAAAATCAAACTAGTATGGATCATGGAATTTAAGCTTAGTATAATTAAGGGCTAAATTGATAGCAGGTGACATGTTAAAAGTTTAATATTTTGATTATGAGATTATTAGGTTATAAGATAGATTTTAAATTGTATTTTTCTTCTCTTTAAATAGGTCCTAAATTGAATCTTAATTAAGAATTAATAAAGTAAAAATAAAAAAGACTAGATTAATCAACATGGCAATATCTTCACGGAAATAATACTTGAGTGCACTTCTAATTACACTTCCTTGTTTATACTAGTTGTGAATTCACGAATGATAACTGTGCATATATCATAATCGTAACTGTTGATTTCTTAAACCACAATTTATCTATCTTTGCAATCAAAAAGAAAAATTCATTGAAATTGGAGATTGATTTAATATCAGACGGTTTTCGTCTTCAATTCCTTAAATTAGTTTTGAAAATGCTTGCGCGCTTTGGCGAACTGCTCGCACTCGGGACGAGCTTTCTCAACGACTAAACCAAGAGGGTAGGAAACGCGATGGCTTGGACCGATGAAAACGACGCTGTCTCCTTCTAATAGGTTGATCTTCCGGGTGGCCACCGGCGCAGTTTTCGATTTGTTGTTAGGGTCGACTTCGTGGGAAATCTTGCATTCAGGGTCAGGGCTGTGTAGCACTGTCACTTGACAATCATCCACAGGCTCCTCAGAATTGTCCAACTCAAACACGTACAGTCCAAGCGGGTTGGTTTCGCCCTCTTGGCTGGATTTTATGTTCCCCCCCCTCCCTACACTCCAATCGCACCTTTGCACCTGATCAATGGGCAATGCCAATGCATGCATGCATAAATCTCATATTCAAATCTTATAAACTACAGTTAGGTAGTTTGTTACTTACTTATTAATGTTACGTACCTGGAATCATCTTACTGATCTCGGTCATAGACTTCAATTGGCAGTTATCACAGTAGACCAGGCCGGAGAGGTAGATTTTGTCGTCGGTGGTGTTGGAGTAAGCGAAACTGAGGAGGGACAAGAAACAAAAGGCAAAGGCAAGGATGGTAGTGCTAGACTTTGTCGACATTGTTGATTTCGAGTTTGCTTGTGTTGGTTCTATTCTATGTATTGCTGATGATGAATTATACAGGGCTTTCTTCTTCTTAAAAAGGGAAAAGAAGCAAAGAATGCGTATATTTTGGAGAGTTTTGTGAGCCTTTCTTTGTTTACATGTGGAATTGAGACACTTGACCCGCTCTTGATGGGACTGGAGTTCAGGAGAATAACTTGCCTTCAACAGAGTTGATCAACAACTTAAATGAATAAAAATTGATGATTCGATTGAGAAGGTCACCACAGTAATTATATATGGCTGCAAGCCAATAGTTAAGGTTGGGTTTGTTTTCCTAGAAAACTGTTAATAATATTAGAGTGTTGTTAAACGTATTCTAAAATTAACTGAGTACACCCTATGATGATTTAAGTACACCCTAATATTTAAATTAAAATGTAAAATTAACCAAGTACACCATATTTAACTACCAAAAATACCCATGATACACCTTAATACACTCTATCACACAACACCAAACCCGTAGAGCTCCTCAATTGCACTTCTGGCATGAGCAATGCTAGAGAGGATTTACTTGCGAAAGTTTTCGTCAATCATCAGTCAAGCACACAACTTTCTCTTCCTCATCCATAGGCACACTGTCAATAGCATGCAACGATGCTAGATAATACATAAAAAAGATTTAATACATTTCTTAAGTGCATACATTATCTATGCAAACATAAAATGCCGCAATGAATCTGGCTGAGTGTATTGATTAGTTTACAATTAGTCGATCATCAATTGATGGAAGCTTATTGCCTGGGAGCGTTGTATGGGATGTATATGTCTAGATGCTAATCCTCATGTCTCGCCAACATGGTTTTCTCATCATAAATTTGGCGAGACGATGCTTGAGAGGAGCAAATGGCCAAAATGAAAAGAAAAGCTAAACTGAGGTATTGGCCTTGATTTGTGAGAGCCATGGTAAATAGTAAATAAGCACAAATGGTACGTATTCTATGGAAATATATTTAATCTTTGATGGGCACAAGACATTCAATGAGCATCTGGGATTTTATAGACATAAAATTGTTGTGAGCTGTCCTTTGCCTCATAGTATACGAGAGGGGGACCTTTCTTTCTACGTGCCTTCGAAGATTTTCTGACTTAGGCACACAATAATTCAATTTTTTGGGGCCGTTAATCATTATTTATTTGCTAATTTCACATTATATATCCTTTACTAACGGTATAAGAAGATTAGTTGAACTAACTCATCATTTTTTTAATAGACAAGTAATTGATGGAATTACGAATGGAGTCGGTATTGCGAGTTTATTTTTTTTTATTTTAAGGAAACGAACAAGTGATTCATTACAAGTCATGGATCCTCTTCGATCTTAATCACTTCATAAACTACTTAACGTAATAACCAGGCACATAATGATTCAATTTTTGGGGCCTTAATGATGATATGGGTTGTGATGTGTGTCAAATCCAATTTGAACACATTATTATTTATTTGCTACTTTCACGCTATCTAGCACATTATTTTAAAGAAAAGACCAAGTTTTCACACCAAAATAAAAAATAAAAATCAAACTAGTATGGACCATGGAATTTAACCTTAGTATAATTAAGGGCTAAATTGATAGGTGACATGTTAAAAGTTTAGTATTTTGATTAGGAGATTATTAGGTTATAAGATAGATTTTAAATCGTATTTTTCTTCTCTTTAAATAGGTCCTAAATTGAATCTTAATTAAGAATTAATAAAGTAAAAAAATAAAAAGACTAGATTAATCGACATGGCAATATCTTCACGGAAATAAACTTGAGTGCACTTCTAATTACACTTCCTTGTTTATACTAGTTGTGAATTCACGAACCATAACCGTGCATATATCATAATCGTAACTGTTGATTTCTTAAACCACAATTTATCTATCTTTGCAATCAAAAAGAAAAATTCATTGAAATTGGAGATTGATTTAATATCAGACGGTTTTCGTCTTCAATTCCTTAAATTAGTTCTGAAAATGCTTGCGCGCTTTGGCGAACTGCTCGCACTCGGGACGAGCTTTCTCAACGACTAAACCAAGAGGGTAGGAAACGCGGTGGCTTGGACCGATGAAAACGACGCTGTCTCCTTCTAATAGGTTGATCTTCCGGGTGGCCACCGGCGCAGTTTTCGATTTGTTGTTAGGGTCGACTTCGTGGGAAATCTTGCATTCAGGGTCAGGGCTGTGTAGCACTGTCACTTGACAATCATCCACAGGCTCCTCAGAATTGTCCAACTCAAACACGTACAGTCCAAGCGGGTTGGTTTCGCCCTCTTGGCTGGATTTTATGTTCCCCCCCCTCCCTACACTCCAATCGCACCTTTGCACCTGATCAATGGGCAATGCCAATGCATGCATGCATAAATCTCATATTCAAGTCTTATAAATGTTTGTGAGGTAGTTTGTTACTTACTTATTAACGTTACGTACCTGGAATCATCTTACTGATCTCGGTCATAGACTTCAATTGGCAGTTGTCACAGTAGACCAGGCCGGAGAGGTAGATTTTGTCATCGGTGGTGTTGGAGTAAGCGAAGCTGAGGAGAGACAAGAAACAAAAGGCAAAGGCAAGGATGGTAGTGCTAGACTTTGTCGACATTGTTGATTTCGAGTTTGCTTGTGTTGGTTTTGTTCTATTTATTGCTGATGATGAATTAGAGAGGCCTTTCTTCTTCTTATAAAGGGAAAAGAAGCAAAGAATGCGTATATTTTGGAGAGTTTTGTGAGCCTTCGTTTGTTTACATGTGGAATTGAGACAATTACTGACCTCCTTGACCCGCTCTTGATGGGACTCGAGTTCAAGAGAATAACTTGCCTGCAACAGAGTTGATCAACAACTTAAATGAATAAAAATTGATGATTCGATCAAGAAGGTCACCACAGTAATTATATATGGCTGCAAGCCAATAGTTAAGGACCTTAAGGTTGGGTTTGTTTTCATAGAAAACTGTTAATATTAATTTCACACATTCAACTCTTGGTCCAGCCAAATAATTGAATTCTTGTGAAGTAAATGAAATGCAATAAGATTTTAAACAAATAAATGAAGAATAGATTAGTTTTTCCTTAACGCTTGGTTCTATGCTTGCTTGGATGTGAGGTTGAGGGAGTAACAATCGGGTCAAACAACTTGTCAATTGTATTTTGGGATTTTAGGTCTACATGTGCTAGTAGGACACTCAAATTTGTTTCCTTATTTTTCAATAAATTTTAATCAGTAAATTATCTTAACTAGGTGTTCTACTCTGCGTACTTTCGAGGACGAAACCGCACAAGGTTAAGCTAACTGAACTTGAGGTAGGGTCAGGGCCGGCCCTGGGGGTAGGCAAGAAGGGCCTTGGCCATGGGCCTCCAATTAAGGGGGCCCCAAAATTTTTTATATTATATATATAT